ATACATATTGAACTAGCTATAGGGTGGTTCATGAAATATTTCTGTAGTATTAGCACAGCAGCTACTTTTAAAAAGACTCCAAGGGCGCGTTAATACTAAAAAACCAGCAGCTAGTTGAGGTGCTTTTTCTGCCTCTCTTGAAAAACTTTCCTTTCATAATGCGCGTCTTAGTGAGTTGGCCGCTTTAATAATTGATTGAATGTGTGCCGAGTGGGCGCAAATTTCCGCAAGCGGTCTGCGGAGGAGTAACGCGCAGAAGTTGGCACAAGAAGTGTGTTGAAGCGAGTTGATATTTAGGACGAGGAAAAAATTGGATTAAGTGCATATAATTATAAGGGTTTTAATCGCTTTCGGAGTAACGTGCATGTTTTATTCAACACGAGAGGAAAATTTACACACTCGATGCAAAAGTTGTTGAAGCAAATTGAAGTTGCCAACTGCATAAATATTTAGCGTATTTTCCATGCCTTTTTTTGCTTATAAAACACTTCATAAGACCAAAGAGGATGTGGTAAACGTCAAATTTCCTCCTTATTATACAGACCAAGAAATACACAAGAAATTAAAAATAAAAATTTATCTTTAAAATTAATCAAGGGAAAATTTTTATTTGTTGAGAATTTTTCTCAAACCACTGAACAACTTCCTGCGGAGAAAATTCAAGTATTTTAATCCCTACAAAAATAACAGTGAAAACCTTAATTTTTGGCACGCGCTACAATTATATAATTTAAGATATAATAAATAAGATATAATAAATTAAAAATAAAACAGACACAAAAATGAACAAAATATTTATTTAATTTGACTCTTTTTCATTCAAGTATTTTTTTTTTCAGAAATAACGGATGATATACTTTTTATATGAAAAAATTTTAAATCTATTTAGTGATTTTGCTGGTAGATCATTCTCTATTAATTTGTTTACTTATAGAATTGGTTAATCTTCAAAATCTCTTAATTTTAGCTCTTTTAATAAACATTTTTCAAGGACCAAGCTCTTTTTTCAAGTCAATTCTTACCTGGATTAATAAAAGATAAAACGTTTTGTGCGCCTGGTAAGACCGTGTTTCATATTGAGCAAATAAATGGGTTCATATAAAACTTTGACAGCGAATTTTCTTGTTCAACATCTGGTCAAACAGAGCAAGAGACTGACCCACCTAGTTCTTCTCTCTCTTTCGGCAGAATGCATGTCTGATGTTTTGTTGAAAACACGCTTCGGAGGCCTCGGGGGATCTTGAGAGCTGCGCTGCTCTCGACCTGCTAAAAGCATTCTCTTCAGCGGCCTGCGCGAGGGCAGTAAGGTCCGGCCTTTCAGCCCCACAGTTTACTTGCCCCGCATTTATATTTCGCGTGTACAATGGCCGGCTCTATTTATTTATTATGACTGTTTGTCTGCGCGCGTTCCTCTATCTGGCAAACACAGACACGGTTGCTCTGCTCTCTCTATCAGCGAAAGAAGACCTCTTTAGTATTCACCGAGCGAGAGTCGAGTTTGCAAACTTCCGCTCGCTTTGGCTACAGATTGAATAGATGATGTGCTTCGAGTACATCAAGGCATTACTTTGGGAAATTTCACAAATAGACACACACACAGGAAACAATGGAGAGAACAAGCCGCCTATTCGCTCAGTACGCAAAGTTTAGGGATTGAACAATTTCGTGGTAATTAACAGATTTTTGATAATTATGAATTCAATGATGTGAATATTTAACTAAATTTTGAGTTCAAACTGATTCGAACTTGTCCTTGTAAAATTGCGGCGAAATGTAATTGAAAATATAAATGATGATTTAAAATCTTATGATTTTTTTTAATTTTCTATATTATGATTTATGAGATTAGCTAGTTAATTTTTAAATGTCATCAATGATCAAATTTGCCAAAATTAAAAAAAAAACCAAAATGAAGCCCAGATACTATTTAACCATGAGAAGATTAAAGATTAAAATATAACAAATAATGAAATTAAATTAAATTTAAAAATTATATGAAATAATTGATGAAGTCTGATGATTAATCAAAAAGATTTGTAGGATAAAAGGTTTAATTAAATCAAGTTGATCAGGGATTAATTATTATTATGAGTCTTTTAATCTTACCTGAAATGATGAACAAATTGTTAATAATTAAAATATTATTCTTAAACATAAAAAAAACACATCAATTTTTTAAATCTTACATTTAGTATTATAAAAATAATTTTCAATGATTATAAATTTTATATGATTTTTAAAATATTTATGTGATTAATTTTTTTAAATGATATAAAATAATTAGCTTTATAATAGAATTTTCATATTATTTAGTTTTTAAATGAAAAAAAAAATGTAATTAAAAACTAATCATCAGATTGAATTACTATTTAATATCTTTAACGTGGGTTTCCTAAGCTCTTTTGAATTGGATTTTTGCACAAAGCAAATATATATTTCGAGTTTATTGGAGTAATGAATCGTCTAATTTTTAATCTATTACCTTTGCTATGCATAATGGGTTTCCCCCGTCGCGCCATGAGTGATTCTAACAGGAAAGTTGGTGACCGTGCGGGTTAAAAATGCAATGCGCCGATCTTTTATTCGTGCGAGTCGTGATTTAATAGTTGAGGACATGTTGATCTGATTATTCGCAACACGAGTCTCTTACAAAAAAACAAGGCCGCGTGGCACGTCAGGTAAATGTGATTAATGCTGCGCCAACACAATGGGTCGCAGTGGCCGAATTAAAAATACACAATGCCGGCGACAAATAGAAAATAATGGGAAACACACCCGCGCCCTCGCTAAACTCTCTGCTGGCGCGGTTTCTGCATCAAGTGCGTGGCACGCCAACGACACACAATGCACACCGGTGCATGCCAAATGTTTTAAATAAAACACGTGGCGTGACCTCGTCGGGCCAGAAATTCAAAAAGTGGCATTCGTATGTGTGCAGATTGTAATTTGTGACACGCACACCCTTTTTTTAATGAGCTGCGAGGCAGACAATTCAAAAACCAAATTCGTCTAAAACGTTTTTAACATAAAAAATAGTATTTTGAGTAAGAATTTTTTTTATGACATTAAGCGTTGCTTTTCCAGTGCTCCAGCTACAGAAAAAGCCAAACATTTTGTTAAAAAAAATTTGCATTGTAAAAGCTAGTTTAATTGTAATGGAAATTTAATTAAATAAAGTGTATTTTGTTCTGTTATTACATTTTCATTAAAATTTACGTTTTACTTAAAAAAACATATGATCTACGCCACATTGAGCGTTTTTAACTATAACTGGAGATAGTTGAACAATTCGGTGATTTGATCTTTTTTCCAGTATCCGTAGTTCCTTTTTTCAATGGAAATTTAAATTTTTATTTACTAAATAAATAAAATTCTAAATTAAACTTGTTTCATTAAATTTGAATAATGCTGCAAAATTCTCAAAGTAGATATAACAATTTCAATAGTATTTTTTAAATAGTTATATTTAATTAAAGCTGAATATATTATCAATAATGATTCATCACACTGATAATTAATTTCCTCCTTGTAAACTTTTGAGCGCGTAGCCTGCACGCGGAAGTACATGCAATGCATTTTATCAATTGTGATATTTTATATCTACGTAAACACAAACTAAAATATACAGCAGTTGAATAGTTTCTTTTTGGACGGTGATTTCAGAGGAATGGCTCCAAAATGGATTATTCTTTGCATCGTCAGCTTGACTTTGCTGGGAAAACCATCCAATGGCGAAGAATATATTTGGCGAAATTGGAGTAAACCACAAATTTATCTGATTTTAAAATTCTATTTCATTAATTTTTGACCAGTTGGCTGCACCGGTTACAGTTGTATTCAGTGCAGAGTCCCTAAGGATTTCCCAAAATGTTCCTACGGCTGGATAAATTATAATGAATACACGTGCACATGTCTTCACAACGAATTTCATTACAATATTGGATGCAAACAAGGAAAAATCTACGTACGATCGCCTGATGGAAAAACAAAATGCGGTGATAAATCAACAAATTTGATTGATAATTAAATTTTTTAATATATTTACGTTCCTACTTTAGAAAAAACTGATGATCCCTTGCTTCATCATCTTGGGTCGTCAGTATTGCCAAATAATTTTTCAAAATTAGACAGAAATGAAAGCACAACTCTCTCACATGGTTCCTTGCTAAACACACAACAAATAAATGGTGGCTTGGGGGATAAATCGGACGAAGAGACACCAAAATTGATTATAATTGCTAGCCATCTGGATAAATGGGACTACAAGCCAATCTTGACCATATTTGTTACAGTTCTAACTTGTATTGCATTTGGAGTGATAATATTTTCCTGTTATTTAGTTATTGATCAAAAAAGATCTCTAGCCGATCTATAATTGCTATGTAAAATAAAGGTTATGCATAATTTAATAAATTAGAATTAGAGTAGCCATAAATTTTTTTTCAATTTAAATTCTTTCCTTATTTTTCTATTTTATTTCATTGTGCGTGCATATATTTGTATTTCAAAATGAATACTAATATCATTGTATCATAAATAAATATTCTCCTCATTTTACAATTAGTAAATAAAATGTTGAAAATTTTAAAAATGTAGTCTTTTGATATATTCAAGTAAAAACAATTTTCTTATACAAAATCTTCATTAAAACCTTCGTTTTTATCTTAAAAATTTTTGATATGCTATATGAGCTTCACTTTTTGCACTAATTGGAAATATAGCTGAAAATTTTGGTGATCTGATCTTTTTACCTGTATCTGTAGCTCCTAATTTCTCAAACTGAATATAGAAATTTCAATAATATTTTGTAAAAATAGTTCAATCTAATTATAGCTGAAGCTGAATATTATCAATGATGATTCATCAGACTGTTAATTAATTTCCTCCTTGTAATTAAGCGCGTAGCCTGCACGCGGAAGTATAATTATGCAATACATTTTATCAATTGTGATAATTTAATATCTACGTCAACACAAACTTAATTACACAGCAGTTGAATAGTTTCTTTTTGGACGGTGATTTCAGAGGAATGACTCCAAAATGGATTATTCTTGGCATCGTCGGCTTGACTTTGCTGGGAAAACCATCCAGTGGGGAAGAATATTTTTGGCGAAAATATCGTAAACCATAAATAATTATCTGCTTTCCATTTTATCTTTTACCAATTTTTTAACAAGCTGGCTGCATCGGCTTTTCCAGTTGTTTTCAGTGCATAGTCCCTAAGGATTTCCCAAAATGTTCCTACGGCTGGATAAATTATAATGAATACACGTGCACATGTCTTCACAACGAATTTCATTACACAATTGGATGCAAACAAGGAAAAATCTACGTACGATCGCCTGATGGAAAAACAAAATGCGGTGATAAATCAACAAATTTGATTGATAATTAAATTTTTTAATATATTTACGTTCCTACTTTAGAAAAAACTGATGATCCCTTGCTTCATCATCTTGGGTCGTCAGTATTGCCAAATAATTTTTCAAAATTAGACAGAAATGAAAGCACAACTCTCTCACATGGTTCCTTCCTAAACACACAACAAACAAATGGTGGCCTAGAGAATAAATCGGACGAAGAGACACCAAAATTGATTATAATTCCTGGCCATCTGGATAAATGGGACTACAAGCCAATCTTGACCATATTTGTCTCAGTTCTAACTTGTATTGCATTTGGAGTGATAATATTTTCCTGTTATTTAGTTATTGATCAAAAAAGATCTCTAGCCGATCTATAATTGCCATGTAAAAAAGGTTTTGCATAATGTAATAAATTAGAATTAGAGTAGCCATAATTTTTTTTTTTAATATTTAATACTATCCTTATTTTTCTATTTTATTTTATTTTGCGTGCATATATTTGTATTTTAAAATGAATACTAATGTCATTGTATCATAAATAAATATTCCTCATTTTACAATTAGTAAATAAAATGTTGAAAATTTTAAGTATTTAGTTTTTTGATTTATTTTTATTCAAGTAAAAACAATTTTCTTATACAAAATCTTGATTAAAACCTTCGTTTTATCTTAAAAATTTTTGATATGATATATGAGCTTAACTTTTTGCACTAATTGGAAATATAGCTGAAAATTTTGGTGATCTGATCTTTCTTCCTGTATCCGTAGCTCCTAGTTTCTCAAACTGAACATAGAATTTCAATAATATTTTGTAAAAATAGTTCTATCAAATTAAAGCTGAAGCTGAATATTATCAATGATGATTCATCAGACTGTTTATTAATTTCCTTCTTGTAATTAAGCGCGTAGCCTGCACGCGGAAGTATAATTATGCAATACATTTTATCAATTGTGATAATTTACATCTACGTCAACACAAACTTAATTATACAGCAGTTGAATAGTTTCTTTTTGGACGGTGATTTCAGAGGAATGACTCCAAAATGGATTATTCTTTGCATCGTCAGCTTGACTTTTCTGGGAAAACCATCCAATGGGGATGAATATTTTTGGCGAATATATCGTAAACCATAAATAATTATCTGCTTTCAATTGTATCTTTTACCAATTTTTTAACAAGCTGGCTGCATCGGCTTTCCCGGTTGTATTCAGTGCAGAGTCCCTAAGGATTTCCCAAAATGTTCCTACGGCTGGATAAATTATAATGAATACATGTGCACATGTCTTCACAACGAATTTCTGTACACAGTTAGATGCAAACAAGGAATAATCTACATACAATCGCCTGATGGAAAAACAAAATGCGGTGATAAATTAACAAATTTCATTGATAATTAAATTTTTTAATATTTTTATGTTCCTACTTTAGAAAAAACTGATAATCCCTTACTTCATCATTTTGGGTCGTCAGTATTGCCAAATAATTTTTCAAAATTAGACAGAAATGAAAGCACAACTCTCTCATATGGTTCCTTGCTAAGCACACAACAAACAAACGGTGACCTGGAGGATAAATTGGATGAAGAGACATCAAAATTGATTATAATTGCTACAGTACCAACGAGCATTGTGTTGGGACTTATTATAGTTTCTACTTTAATAATTATTTATAAAAGAAGGGCCAATACCCAAGTTGTAATTATTGACGACATCAAAATTGAAACGTAGTAAACAAAATAAGCAAAAATGTAAGCGTTCATTCATCTAATACATAATTATGTTATAAAATTATTTAATGCTATATTATTGTGTGGTTTAATGAGAATCAATTCCTTATCGCCTTGTTGAATAAAAATTACTCATCATTTAATTGAAATTCCATTAGTTTGTAAATTCAAGACAAGTTTAGAATAAATAATTCACAACCATTATTTAAAAGAAATAAAATTTAAAAAATTTAAACAACATCTTATTAATTAAATTTTAATTACGTATTAAATGCAATGTAAAAGTTTTTAGCTTACAGCTCTATAGATAACTTTTTAAGTTTTTTCATAATTTAATTTCCGGACGTTAGTTCTAAAACAGAGGAAAGTGTTTATTTGATAATTTTCAATTCATTCTCTGCCGAAATAACGGTGTTGGGGGGTCCACGAAAGGAAACGCATAGCTCTCGGTCTCCGACGTCGTTTCACCTGCTCCTTACTTATTGATGCAAATGCCGTGAATAATTTAGTCACCACCTATGTGCGCGGCCCACGCAACAACCCCGTTTCCCTCGCTGCAGCGGCTGATAAAAAATAGTGCGAGTTTTTCAAAGTCTTAGCGGGGGTGGAAGCCGAAACTATGCACACACATCCGAGGGTGGAATGGAATGGAAGTGAGTCAGCTTTCAACCTTGCAGGATATAAGGGAAGGGATGATCTATCCGAAAAGCTTTTATTACGTTTAACCGACGATTTCATTCTCTGATGAAGATTAATGGCGCGGCTCAAGATCAAAAGGCTCCGTTCGTTCGACAGCCACTCTTTTCCATTTGCCAGTCAAAATAATATTTTCAAACTTGCAAATTATGATTTACAAGCGGCATTACTCGTGCCGCGGCAATATTTGTCGCGCGGCCGGTTAAATTACGACCGATGGTGTTTTTATTTGGGCACTATATTGGCATATCGAACACGTACGCGTGTGTCCGCCCGTTGAGGTGAACGACGCGGCGCGGGTGCTGTGTTTTTATAGCTTTTGATGTGTCTGTTATTTCTAAACCGGCTGCTGCGGGCACTTTTGACAGGCAAAACAACATCGTCCATATTCTGTATATAAAACCCAGAGAGCCATCCAGCGTAATAAATATTCCATTTGTTTCCAACGTTCGCCCTTTTTTCTTTGATCGTTTATTTTGGGGCCAAAATATTTTGTCATGCATATAAGGAAAAAAGCTAACATTTAAGCTATAAAAAAGAGGAAAACCGACTAAAGCAACTTTGATAAAATTTTATTTTTATCAACACTTATCAATTATTAACAGGATGAACTAATTAATTCAATGCGACGTTTTGACTTTTGATTAAATAAACAAGGAAATTTTCGGAGGTCTCAATGGGATTTCCAATACGTTTTAATTTGTTGGAAATTCTTAGAAATTTTCGTAATAAGCTCACAAAGTTCTCCACGTGGGCTTTAATCTATAATGCATGTTCTCTTCTGCTCCCTGAAAACTTGAAGTTAAGAACTCGGACTCCAACAACATTTTAAGCCATTAACAAACTTCAAAAATACATTTAAATTTATTAATATGCTTAAAATATAATGAATATTTGATATTGCCAAAGTTTTCTGATCTCATTTTAATAATTAATTATTTTGCTCTAAATCCAAATTTGTTGAACTAGATTTAAAAATGGAAGTTTTTTATTGTTGATTTAATATTATTTTTCCCTTGGTTTTGTCCAATTTTTTTTCTATTACTCTTTATCAAAATTTAAAACAATCCTTTACTTTGTCCATAATCAGAATCACTTGAATGGAATTTTAATAAAAACTCTTTCACCTCCTACATTTTTAGTTCTCTTTTTTTAATGCTAGTTGTTTGTTTAAAATCTCAATTTATTCGGATTTGGGGAAGGCGAGTGCTTCGGTCCGATACGCGCGCAGCTGACAGATCAGCCCGGCCCGAGGTTACAAATGATAGCGGCTTATCCTGCTCCCTGCTTTCAATTTTTCAAGAAGTGCATTCAATTGTCCCCTCGACTCGCACCCGATTCAATTTCATCATTGTCCTGTCGTTGCGATGGCAGATGAGAGAAACGCACTCAACCAACTAATCTCCCGGCTCCTTCGCGCAATATCATCATTTACTTAAAGTGTTTGCGTGCACTTGAAAGATATTCAACGCACACGGCTCTCCTTTATTCATTTGGTGCCAAATGATCTGAGCCTCTTGTGCATAATTTAGCGAGTTTCGAAACTGATCTTCCCCGGGAATTTCCGATGAATTCCATCGCCGCGCGCGCCTTTGATCCTCAGGTTTCTCGAGATGAGCGCAGAGGACCAGACACTTGGATTCAAAATCCCCCATTTACTTCACAAAATAGTTTTTTAACTTATTTGGTCCTTCCATCAAACTATTTAAATATTTTTACGATTTGAATATTATTTAAATTTTCTCTACACAAATTGCTAATAACAGTTTTAAAAGTTAACAATTGAAAAAAAAAACAGATTAATAAAAATCTTGTAACATTTAAATGTAACTCAAGACTTCAAATTTTAATAACAGATCGTGTACAAAGATTGGAAAAGATAATAATTTGAATCTACCACAATCTATCTTTTTAAATAACTCGGAAAACGAAAATTAATGAGAAATCAACCAAATTCTGTTATTTTCAATTTTCCTACTTCCGTGATGATTGAAATTTGAAACAGATAAATTATATTTAATACCAATACACTTTAAAAATTTTAATTATTAACTTATATCGGAATTAATTTTTATTCCTACATTATCAGGATAGAAATAAACTATTGGAGATTTTGGGCATTGAAAATCGTTCCCAGGATTTGATGTCGATGAAATCCGTGCCGCGTGCCTGCGAACAAAGGCGGGCGGACAGGCGAGGATTCATTTATTTGACAGTGCAGAAATCGTGATCCGCCGCCGCCGCCGCCGCTTTTCTCTGTGTTGTCGAGCGGCTCATTTGTTTAGACGCCGGTGGATTCTGAAGGGAATTCCTGGCCGCCAGCAAGCAGAGGAGGAAAGGAAGACATGGCCTGCGGAATTTAATCTCGTGCGGTGCTTTCGCTCTCATCTTGGGCAATATCTGCCATGTATGATGTTTTAGTGGGCGCACAATGGCCAAAACGCTTTTTGGTGCTCCTCCGACCGGCAAAGTTCGCCGGCCACCGAATCCTCATTTCGAATGAATTCATTAAATGTCACGGTCTGGATCCAGATTGGAGGAAAGTTCCTGAAATTCTGATTTTCAAGGATAGATTTAATAATTATTATTTAGTATTTCAAAATATGAATTATTTGAAAATATTGAGATCCTCGTTGCCAAGAAAAATTGAAAAATAAAAGTACAATTGACCTCAAAAGCGATGTGCTGAGTACTTTTTTTGGTTTTGTTGTTTCCAAAGAACAACAATAAGAGTGAGGGCAATTTAAAAAAAATAAAATCAAAATTAATTTGGAAGGATTTAATTTATTTAAAAAAAATTTAGAAATTACTTGAAAAATTAAAAGAAGAATTCCGACAGCATGTAAATGAAAAAATAAAGTTTGATAATGTTTACAGAAAAATAAAAAAGAAGGGTCTAATTTGCTAATTTTAACAAAAATATTAAATTAAGAATTTTAAAGTGTGTATATTATTAAATTAGAAATTGAAAATTCCCTAAGCTGGATTTTCAGAATGAACTTTTGAGCGAAACAAAGAAAACTAAGAAAAGAAATTTTTCATGACGACACCAAAGACATCGCGCGTGTTTGGTGTTTGCACGTTTCGGCAAACCTCCATTACGCACATCTCCAAGCATAACATTTTGCCCGCAGGAGTGCTCTTCAACCCTTTCTCGCCAAGGAACCACCCACTCGTCTCCGCACAGCCGCCCCCGAAAAACAACAGCCGGCGGCGGCGACGCAAGTGAACGCGCGCTCGCGTCCCCTGAAATTATGCACGCATCGAGCCGCCGGCTATTTTTATCTGACCGAGACGATTTTCCGCCTCTCGCCGAAACATAAAAACACGGTCCATTAGTCTAGTTTCCCTCTGCACCCTGCGGGCATATCACACCCTCCGACGGACAATCAATTTACAACCGCCGAATGCAAATTAAAACACAACTGGTTGGAAATGCCCCTGCGCCGTCTGCGAGTGCGAACAATTGACCTGGGGCGGTCACAACTCATACGGTACGGATGCGATACTGTATGTATGTGTCTTTTGTCACCAGTCAGTGGCACGCCTGGAAAAGAGAATTTGAGATTAAAGAAATAAAAATTAACTGAAAAATTTCATTTTAATTAATATTTTATTGGGAATTTAAAACCAATAAAAACGGAAAATAATAAAATTAGTAACTTTTGACTAATCGCAATCGCCTTTACGTGTCTTGAAACGTAATTCCACGTAAAGGCAAAAGTTTCTAATTTAAATAATATTTTATTGATGCATTACCGGCTGAAAACACTCCTTTCTTTCAATAAATGGCAATAGTGTGGATTAAAATATTCATCAAAAGAGTCTTATTTAAACAATTTAATCTGACATACCCATGGAAAATGGAGAGGAAATGAAATTAATTTTTTCCAAATCAATAGAAAAACAGTGATTTTACAGACAGTTACAAAAAGTAAATTTTAAAAATAAGTTAATAATGACACGTTTGTATTGTTTTATTATAAATATTTACTTATTAATATTTTTAATTTACCCTTTTATTTTATTTAAAATTTTAAAAGAAATTAAATTAATTTTATGCTGTATAAATATTGTGTATTTACGTAATTTACTTTTGGTTACGTGAAACTTCAAAATGTATTAATATTACTCTGCCGACATAAAAGGTGAAGTCATAAACAATTTTCTTGTAATTAAAGTGCTTTATCTACTTTATTGGTATTCGATTCAGTAACATGGTCTAATGGTTATCAAATCTGGCTCTTTTGCAGAAGTAATTAACGAAACTAATACATAAATGATACCAACCAAATAAATTTACACAACCAATATTAATTAAGATGTATTGAGAGAAAATACGCCACCTAGTCGGAACAATGTCGAATAAAGGGGTTCTGCGTTGTATCATCACAGAAGTATAATCTCTGTGCCACAATATAACACCACCGGCGGGCGGGCGGGCGGACAGTGT